ACAATAAAACAGTAACGAATGCTCAGGCTGATGGTCATTCGTATTTGCTCCTATCCACCTTGTAAGTAAAAGTACGGAATCAATTTAAATTCAATTTAAATCTAGCTCAAGCATGTAATAAAAAGTTAAATTGGGCTAAGTACGGAATAAATTCAATTTAAATCTAGCTCAAGCATGTAATAAAATTTAAATTGGGCTAAGTACGGAATAAATTCAATTTAAATCTAGCTCAAGCATGTAATAAAATTTAAATTGGGCTAAGTACGGAATAAATTCAATTTAAATCTAGCTCAAGCATGTAATAAAATTTAAATTGGGCTAAGTACGGAATAAACTTACTTGACACCGTAGGGGAGATTTTGCAGAAGGTTGAGCTCATCATCGTTTCTCCGGTATGGACGTGGGTCGAGAGGTGCGAACATTGGAAGATGCTCCCATACCCACAGTTGAACGATGAACATCGCAGCACCAGCTTGCTTTGCCCCAACCCTCGAGCAAGTACACAGCTCCCGGTATACGCCCGCTAGCACGGCCGATCCCCAACTCTTCTCTCCAATTGCATCCCAGTCACCGGTGAGCAATGGCAACCATATGCCTTGAATCCACCGGTTGGACTTGTCGGGGAACAAAAATCCACCCACCAAACCGATGAGGTAGATGCGGGCGTAGCGCTCGACTTGTTCTTCCGGTGTCTCGTCATTGATTTCCACCTCTTGCTGGATGTGAGATACCAGCCACGGGACCGACACTTGCCCCGCATTCAACGGTGGATGCCCCCGTCCTTGATTTGGTGTGGTGGTCGGCATGTCGAAGCCCAAACGATCACGGATGAGCGGCCCCCAACCTCCTCCGGGTTTGGTCGTGTTCCCAATGATGGCATCTCCAGATATAGGAAGCCCGGTGAGGATCGCCACGTCTTTGAGGGTGATCGTCATTTCCCCCTCCGCAAGGTGGAATGTATGGGTTTCGGGACGCCATCGTTCCGCCATTGCCGTAAGCAGCTCGTTGTCGATCTCGATCCGCAAGAAATGGCGCAACATTCCCAAACCGGTCCTCGCTATATAGGGCTCCAACCTTGGATGCCAAGCGGGCAAGTTATTGGTCCCTTTATGAACCACGGGAACAAGAGATTCCTAAAAAAAATAGGAAAAACATCAATTAATTAGATTAAATAAAGCAAAATAAAACATTAGAAAATAATAAAATAAAGCAAGTCAGTTCATCAAATTACCGGATTGTTATCCCAAATGGCACGGGAGCGATGCATTTCTTGATCGGTTAAGAGACTCGCATCCCTTGGGCCATAATGGATATACAATCGAGGATCGTATATCTCGGCACCCATCTATAAAAAGGTAATATAATCAGAGATTGTTTTGATAAAAAATAAATCAAATTGTTTCGATTAAAAAAAATCACAAACCAAAAACCTACACGAAGAGCCTCTTCGTCCATTATTGGCGGAAGCCGGACAGAGGTTCGACGGGTTTAGCTTTGTAAGGGATGGGAACTTAGCGGGACGGGGGCTTTAGGGTCAAACTCTAGTAATTCTTTCTGATGTGGAAGATCGGACTTAGCCGCAACCACAGAGCATACTTAGAACGAGACTAGAGCAGATAAATTGAGGGAGAAAGAAGTGAAATGTTTGTGGGGTGAGTTGAAAGTGAAAGGGGAAGGGGGTATTTATAGTTTGGGGGAAGGGGGGGAGGAGCTGCTGCGCAGTTATTAGGGCTCCATTCACCGCGTTTGATGAACGCGGTGAACTCACCGCTTTAACCAAACGCGGTGAATGCAATGGTGACGTGGCGTGCTGTGAGGCGTCGGATCGTGGGAAGAAAACCACGATCCGCGTCTCACCGCATCTAACGGCCACGGTGAAAGCACATTGGCGCGGATTGCTGACGCAAACAAACACGGGTTATTCACCGTGTTTGTCTAACGCGGTGAATACCCCGTGCTGTCCACGTCAGCAACTTCACCGCGGCCGACAAAAACGGTGAAGCCTTCACCGTTTTAGTTTAAAACGGTGAAGGCATCACTGTGTTAAATTAAAACGGTGAGTACTTCACCGTTTTAGTATAAAACGGTGAAGTACTCACCGTGGTTGTCAAACGCGGTGATGACCTTCACCGTTTTAGACAAAAACGGTGATGCTCAAACATGTGTAGTTTTGGAATTTTTTTTAGGCAAAATACAGTTCCATAGCCAAAACTTTCACGTTTGTGCCAATAATAGCCACATTTGGCGAAATACCACTTATAGCCACCTCCGTCCAATTCTTTAACGCTGTTAACGTTAAGTGTGACTAGGCAAGCGGAGCAGCTTACGTGGACCGCCAGTGATTTCCACGTGGCGAATAATTAAAAAAAAATACAAAACACGAAATAGCCTACCCACCGACCATTTGGTCGACTTTTCCATCTTACCTTATCTTCTTTCTCTGAAACCACCCACCCATCTTCCTTCGAAAGGCGACGAGCACGAAGCACCACGAAGACCATCTTCCTCCGACGCCCCACCTCCGACGCCCCCCCTCCGACGAACCCCCTCCGACGAACCCCCTATTCCTTCCGCCACCATCAATCTAGACCCTTCTCATCTCCAATCTCGATTTTCCTCGATAATCCGAAAGTGAACCTACCGCCTCCTTCCTCGAGAAACATAACAGAGAATGGGTTGACTAATCGACGCCGAGCTTTGGCCGAATCTTTCTAAGCTTCTTCTCTTCTGCATGCTCAGGAGGAAAGTGGGAATCGACCGATTGTACTCTGAAACCCTAATCTTCCCTCGAAGCCGATTTGTCCTCTCCCTCGTCAGTCGCGACTGGTAAGGAAACTTTCTTGGTTCTTTATTGTGGGTTTGATAGCTGCAATTGAATTCTGAAAGCTAGTCGAAAGGTTCTTATAGTTTCATCTTTTTTGGTTGGTAGCGAGCTGTAAAGGCGAGAGAGGTACAGGACAGAGACATCTAGGGACCACTGGATTCATTTTTTTGGCGAGTTTGCCCCCATAACTGAAGGTGAGTGGGTCGATTCTACTAGGTTAGATTTGTCAATTCCTATTGCTGTCCACAAACCCTAGAATTGAATACTGTTTTTCGTTGTTGTTTTCCATTTGTTAGGTAGTGAGTAAAATACAGTTTATTTTGTATAATCACGTGGTCAATGGTGATTATAATACAATTTATCTTAATCGTGAATGACAGATGGCTGATTCTTGGGACGAAGCATTTGGGGAGAACGATCCAGCGGCTGTGGTTTTATCAGATATATCCTTGGCTGCAGATGATGGTGTTGAGGCCTCTGTTGCTCGAGACATATACCACGTATACGACTCAGATGATGCAGATACAAGTGACGACGAATACCATGAAGCAAGGGCAAATCTGCGAGCTTATAGGGAGATGAAGAAGAGGAAGGTAAAGGCCCGGGTTGATGGCCATGGGGAGGAGGTTGAGCAGCTTGATGATTTCGAGGAAGAAGGATCAGATGAAGAAGATTCTGAAACAGATGGGTTGGCTGCTGAGGGAGCAGCTCCTGGTGCTTCACAACGCCAAGATGAGGTTCATGTTGATGATTCAGAGAATGTCCAGGAAGCAAGGGGCCAAAACTCAAACCATTCAAGCTACAGGCTTTCAGAAGAGTCAAACCATGTTCGACCTAACCTGTCTGACTCGGACGGCAGGGACATATTCGACGATGCTCCGCAATATGATCCGCAATGTGACCACAAGCTTTTCCAATTCGTTCCTCGAATGAAGTTTGCTAGTGTAGAGGAATTCAAGGCCGCTGTTGTTCGTCACTCTGTAGCGGCTGGGGCTGGTCTAAGATGGGTTAGGAGTAATCCAAGTAGGAGGGAGGTGAGATGCAAGGATCAGACTTGCAAATGGAAGCTTTATGCTAGTTGGTTCCGTCGCAATCAGAGTTTCATGATTAGGAAGGTTGGTCTGCCTCATTCTTGTGCAAGGCAGCTTCGTGTTAACCAAGTTACTGCACACTGGATTGCTAGTGATATGCTGGAGAGGTTTAGAATTAACCCTGAATGGGCTCCTGATCAGATTATGGCTGAAGTTAAGCTAAAGCATAATATGGAGGTGAAGCGAAGAACGTGTTATAGAGCCAAACTTGCAGCAATCAAGATGTTGGGAGGCTCACTTATAGAGGAGTACCAGAAAGTCAGATCATATTTGGCCGAGTTGGTGAAGCGTGATAGAAGCGGGACTTTCAAGCTTGAGGTTGAACCACACCCTACACAAGACAAGGTCTACTTCCAGCGTATGTACATCGGTTTTTCGAGTTTGAGGGATGGTTTTCTTGAAGCATGTCGCCCAATGTTTGGATTGGACGGGTGTTTCTTGAAGGGAGAGATTAAGGGTATGCTGCTCACTGCTGTTGGGAAGGACAGCAACAACCAAATGTATCCAATTGCGTGGGCGGTTGTGGAAGGAGAAAATTCTAACTCGTGGAGGTGGTTCGTCAACACATTAGCTCAGGATTTACACCTAGCTGACGGTAGAGGTTGGTCTGTTATCTCAGATCAACAAAAGGTTAGTTTATTATTATGCTTCCTATAATATGCTTCCTATTTTTGGTTTAGATATAGTGGATGATGATGGGATGTTCTAAAACCAATGTTGATGTATTGCAGGGTTTAGTAGAAGCCATTCATGAGCTTCTGCCAGAGGCAGAACATAGAAAGTGCGCAAGGCATGTGTATGCAAATTGGAAAGTGAGAAACAAGACCGACCGTGCTCGAAAGCTATTTTGGAATGCAGTTTACTCATGTAACGAGGTGGACTGGAAGAAGGCGACTTCTGAGCTGCAAGAAATTGAAGGTGAGGAACATGGTGGCACACCCTTTACTGAGTTCATGAATGCAGAACCTAGGTCATTCTGTCGAGCATACTTGTCTCCTCTTCCCAAGTGCGATTCGGTTGAATCAAATATATGTGAAACATGGAATGTTGTGATAGTTAAGTATAGATGTATGAGAATCATAGACATGTTAGAGGGAATAAGGGGCTACGTAATGGATAGGGTTGTCGTGAAATACAAGATGCTACTAGATTCAACTGATGTCTTATGCCCTAGGATTAGGAAGAGGGTAGAGAAGGAGAAAGCTTTGGCTAGGTTGTGCACGGCGAGACAGACATTGAATGACAAATGTGAGGTAAAGATCGGGGGTGCAGGGTATATTGTTGACTTAGAGGACAAGTCTTGCACATGTGGGTGGTGGACACTTAGTGGCATTCCATGCTGCCATGCTGTGTCTGCCATTTCCCATTTGAGGAAGGAAGTGGACAGTTATGTTCATCCTACCTACCTTGTACAAAATGCTGAATACGCGTACAAGTATGGCATACCTTGTCTCGACGGTAGACAAGCTTGGCCTGATGCCGTAGGATATCCAGTGCACCCACCTAAGCAGAGAAGTATGCCTGGTAGACCGAAGAAGAATCGCAGAAAGTCTGCTCACGAAGTCGAGGTTAGGCCTCAAAGAAATGGAGAAGGAGAGGAAGTGGTTAGAAGGGGGTCAGTGATGCATTGCAAGAAGTGTGGAGGTGAAGGCCATAATGCGAGAACGTGTACAGCTCCTGCTGCTGCCCCTACTGCTGCTGCTGTAAGTACTTTTCATTTTAAATGTATTTATCTATAGTGCCTTGTTCCTGCTGCTTCACTAAATAGTTATTTTGTTGTTCATTTTGCTAGGCTAACAATAATGTAGGTGGAGGTAGAGGAAAGAGACCAAGAACAGCCGCACCAAATCCTGGAAATACAGAACCTACAGCTCGGAAAACTAGAATCGGACATTGCTCCAAGTGTGGTTCTACTACTCACAATGCCAGAACATGTCCTCTAAATCGAGGAGTTGGTATTCAAGTAAGTTGATAAAATTAGGTTAACTTGTAGAATGATTGTAGATAACCGTGGATTGTGTACTCATGTTAATTACCTTCCTTGCCAATGTACTGGAAGGCTGTTCATATCAATGTTGGTGACCGGAGGACTATTGAACGTGAGATGAGGACTGCCACTAGAGGAGTTGGAGTTTATGTATCTGAGGAAACAGGGAATCAATACGTCATAGTAAGCATTCGTGTGTACCAATTTGATGTACAAGATTGGTCCATTATATTGCAAACTGACTAATGACTTTCTCTTCTGATATGCAGCTGAATGGCTCGAGGGGACGTGCTGTTGGAGGCACTCAGCACGATGAGGTCCAGCTGCGTGGAAGCCAACCACCACCAACACAACCTTAGACGTGGGATGGCCTTGTATCTAAAGGCTAGGGTATTCATTTTGCTATATCAGTTAGAGGTGGAACTGCATTTTGCCTTTTGAGAAGTTCCCTCATGTAATGGCCTTGTATGTTAGGGCCAAGTGTATGTTAGGGCCAAGTATGTTCTTTTAGGTCAGATTGTGAACACTTCGGATTATGTGTACCGACTTCTATAATGGGGGTATGTAATTGGAAAACTTCGGATTATGGTTACTATGTTCTATAATGGGGGTATGTAATTGGAACACCGTTAGTTCGGAATGAAGATTGTCTTACCAAAAGCTACATTGATCATAAATGTTACCAACAGGTTCTTACACATACGAAACAACCTTGTCAAATTACAAAACATTCTACATCAGAAAGTGGTGCCATAGAAGAACAACCATTATCAAATTGAGTACGACAATAACAGTGATCTGATAACGAATTACATGAATATCATGATCAACCCTCCTCCCTTCAGCAACCATAATCTCATGTGCTTTCATCAATCTAGATAACTCATCGGACAGAATTTTCATCTCTTTCTTCCTCCTCTCAGCCTTACACTGTGCTGTACGCAAACTGTCTTCGAGCTTCAGAATCGAGCAACTACTTTCAGAGTTTGCTTGCTTATCTTCATCAGCATTCTGTCGCACCCACCTAAAAAAGCGACAATTCTTGGTCTCGTCCTGCACCATTACAACGATCAACTTGCGACTAAAGCTCACACACAAGTACCACAAAAATGCATAAATCATGTCTACGCCGCCTTACCTTCCAAAAAGGACACCCATAGAACTGCCTGCCTGGGTTTAACTCTGTGGCGGATGTCTTGACCACACAAGGCTTATTGCACCAACAGAGTACCACGCCTAGTCTCTGAGTGCTAGTCGAACTTGAGGAAGCTATTCGCCTGGACATGCCTGCAGCTCGCTTGAAGTGCTGGGCAGGAGAAATCGCGGAAGGAGAAGGAGAGGGTTGCGTCGCAATCGTCGTCGTTGCGAGTCGGAACAGAATCGATCGGAATCGCGGAGGGGAGTGAGGATTCGATCAGAAGGGAGTAGAGGATTCGTGGAGAGTGGAATTTGGGGGAAGAACCCTAATTCCGAAATAGGAATCGGGGAGAGTGGAAAGTTGAGGATTCGGGGAGAAGAGTCGAAATTTGAAGTTTGGGAGAGGAACCCTAATTTTTGTATCGAGCAAAAATAGGGGCTGAAGGATTGGTTTCGATGGAAATGGAATATATAGTCTGATTTTTTTTTTTAAATAATGTAATATATAAGTTTTTATTTTTAATAAATGAATATATGACGTGTCAAGACTTGCTTAGTTGGCGCTGACGTGGAAGTGTTCTTCTCGCCTAATCAGCAAACCGTCTGCTTATTTGACGGTGTTAGTAACGCCGTCAATGTTTCTAACGGAAAAGGCTATATTTGTCCAACAACATTTTCAAAAGGTGGCTATAAGTGGTATTTCGCCAAATGTGGCTATTATTGGCACAAACGTGAAAGTTTTGGCTATGGAACTGTATTTTGCCCTTTTTTTTATAACTAATGTATTTTGGGAATTTTTTTTAAAAACTAGTGTACTTTGGGATTTTTTTCATTTTTTAAAGCCCCAAATCTTTTGACAAGTTCCAGATCTAACTGATAACTCGCCATTTCCCTTCTTCCTCGTGAGCAGTCGCCAATTTCATCTCCTTCCTTTCCAATCCCACACCGGTAATTCTCCCCCTTCCCCACTCTTCTGAACCCACATCTGTCTCTTCAACCGCACCCTTCTTTTCATATTCCCAGAGTCCGTATGAAGCAGAGTGTTAAAGTGATGAAGATAAAGAAAATGAAGATAGCAGCACTCTGCAAAGGAAGAGAGAAGAAGAAGTTAAAGGAGATCTAATACATTTTGGATTAGGATTGAAACTCGGGTTGGGCTTCCTTCCCTGCAACGGCATTTCACTGTTAGCTAGTAACCAGGACATTTGTCCTTACCTGATAGGTTCATTTGTCTAGTTAGTTGTTAATAGCCATTAGCACAGTGTTTTAGGAAGTATGTAATTACAGACAGATGTATATATACTTGCAAAAAAGGAATGAAAGGCATCTTGCCGATTTCCACCAAATCCCATCTTCTTCCTCTAACCCTAGCGTTGTGCACCGTTTGAGTAATACTCGACTGGGTATTTGGACCGGTATGCCAGCTTGGGCTATTACAAGAATAACACGGTTTTTGGTCTCTCATTCGAGTTTTTGGAGTAGAAAACAGAGGTTTAGAGAGAAAGTAAGGAACAAAGACCTTTAAGTGCCCTAGATCAAGTATTCCAATCATTTGAGCTCGCTTCAAGTCTCAAGGAGTGACTATTGAGTATTGACGACCCGGAGCAAATTTCTTCCGTCTACACGATGATTTCTACATCCTGCATATGGCTTTCCTCTCTCTTTCTCTCTCTCTCTGTGGAGTAATCCCCTCTACAACTTGGGTATGAAGAACCCTAATTTTGCATGGTAGGAGCAGTTGTATGAACCATTTTTCATTACATTGATGATTATATACCCAATTGAGGTTTTATGCATAAATCTATGAGTCTGGATCACACTTGTATGTTTCCAGCTTTGACCTAGATAAAATCTGAATAGGTCAATTGAGCATCCTGATTTGGAAGTGGTGAATTGCATGTTCGAGTCAATAGAATCCGTTTAATCAGGCATTGCATGATTTCAATTATTATGGGTAAAAATAAGTATAGTATCAATATCTCAGTACCAAATACCAAAATCCCGAATACCAAATAGTGCCCTTCACTCAATCTCAATCACAATCCCATAATAAATTCGGTATCCCAATTCCTAAAATTTTGTTCGGTATCGGTAGGAATGGCAATGGGGCAGGTATCTTGATACCCATACCCGCCTCGTGGCAGGTCGGGTAATTTATCACAGGGCGCGGGTCGGGGCAGGTCGACCCAATGGGTATCTAATTTATGTAAAAACAATAAGAATTATTTTTATTAAAATATCAAGAAAGAAACCATAATATGATGAAATGTATTTAAATTATTGAAGAAATTAAGGTTTTCACTTATTTACAAGTTTATTATAGCTAAAATATGTGATAATAAAAGGAAAAACATAAATAATTTGACTAAGATTACATGTAATTTAGGCCAGAACCCGTCAAGAATGGGGCAGGTCGGGGCAGGTCAGGTCGATGAGAGGTATCCATGCCCACCCCGCCCCAAAACAGGCCAAACAAGTCGGGTAAAACGGGTGAGGTCAAAATTGCCATCCCTAGGTATCAGTATAATTTGGTATGTGAATATGAATAGATTTGTGATACATTGTTGTTCAATTTTAGCTAATTTGGTAGGAGGAGAACAAATTTGCTAATGATATAATTTTAGGTATAATTTGTTTTGTCCAATACCTTAGATTTCATAGATTATTTATTATATTTGAGTGTTGCTTAATTTATTTTATAATTTAAATTCGGATATTGAGAGTTTTTTATTTTCAAATTAAGTGAAAATAACTCCAAATCTAAAATCAGGTGGGAAAAAAGAGGCTCGAGCAAAAGGAGGCGTGACAATAGGTATGGTATCCTCATCCTACGTGGAGTTGGTCAGAATCTTTAATTCATCGGAATTATAGAATCCAAATCCGAGTCGGAATCCGTCAGGTCTCTATATAAACAAGTAGAATGCCGTTCCTAATTGACAACAATATGGCAGAGGAGAAGTGGGAGCATCTCCCCGGAGACATCCTATACGACGTATCACTGCGGCTGTGCAACCTGAGGGATCTATTCTCATACGCCGCCGTTTGCAAGTCATGGCATTCGGCGTTGGCGCCGGTTATCAAGTCGCCGCCTCCGCTGCCGCCCGGTTTCCCGAATCCGATGCTTATGCTGGGACAGGGGGACGGCGGCGGCGGGCGTCAGCGCCGATTCTTCAGCTTGCTGGACGGACGAACCCACCGGATGAAGGTGAATGAAGTCGTCAATGGCCCGGGGAGTTCCTGCGTTGGCGTGTCCCACGACGGGTGGTTGGTGGTGACGGATCGAGAAGTGGAGGTACATTTGACACACCCCTTAACCGAGCACGCGGTAAAACTTCCGCCGCTATCACGCTGCCCCAATTCCACCTACGGCGAACTGCTCCCTGAAGATTTCTGCGATTTTTACATCACCAAGGCTGTGGTGACGGCGGCTCCCTGGTCCCGACTGCGTGGTGTTGGCCCTCGTTGGCCTGGCCAACTTTTTGTGGGCGTGCAGATTGGGGGATGTGATTTCCGATCACAGCAATGCGGCGTGGACGGAGCTCGAGCCGATCGAAGGCTATGACGACGTTGTTTGCCACAACGGGAACATCTACGCGGCATCTGAATTTGGGGCAGTCTACACCATCAACAACATTACTACCGGTGTTCGAAACCTTGCGGAGCTAAAATGGCGCAAGCTCTGCAGCGGGTCTAAGCTTAATGAATCGAGAGTAGCCAACTACTTGGTGAGCTCGCTGTCGGGCGATCTTCTACTGGTAAAGCGCTACCGCGCAGGTTTCTACTATAATAAGGCTGCTGATGAGGGGGAGCTTTTCGACCTTGAAAGTATGTACCTGACTGTTGGGTTCATGGTCAGCAAATTGGTGGACTGTGGGCGGCGGCGGCGGCCGTGCAAGTTGGAGAGGGTATACAATTTGAGATCTGATGAAGCCTTGTTTGTAGGCCAAAGCTGCAGCTTGTCGCTGTCACTGGAAGCGATGAATACAAATAAGCAGCAAGAAGGACGAGGAATGTTGACACCCAACTGCATCTACTTCACCGACGATCAGTCGGACTTCTTTTCGGAAGTACTCGGAGGCCATGATCAAGGCGTGTTTAATATGGCGGATGACACCGTCAAGCCCTGCTATACTAGAAAAATAGCTCCTTCAGTATTTTGCCGGCCTATTTGGTATATGTAATTTCTTCTATCACAATGTGGATGGAAGGATAATAACTCATACTCATAGTACCGCCCAAGTAGAGTTGGCTGTCAATTGTTATTTAAAAGAACAAATATCAGGCCTGCTTTTACAATTCCTCTATTACTACTAGCCTACTACTAGCAAAGGCCACAATACTCATAAACAGATACTCAGTGCAATCAAAAGCAAACAAAGGGTTGCTGGACAGAAACAACGAATGGAGGAATGGGAAGAAAAAAAATGCCATGAAACCACAAAATCAAAAGGTGACTGTAAATGATATGCATCATTTTTTAATGAGACCAAGACACTGATCACTCAAAATTCAAGACTGCTTCTTTGAATCTATCATACTCACCTGTCATCCTTGCAAAAGCTCAATTGTCCGCTTGGCTTTTCCATGGTCTAAGTTAACAAAGCACAATGAAATCCCCCTGCAATTCCGTCCACAAAAAGGAACATACGGTTATAACTGGAGCGGTCATTCCCTTACAAATGCAGAGTGATCACTCACCAGAGATGAACTGCATTGCACCAATTCCATCTACATTACAGGAAAAGGTTTCAAGACAAAATCTACATTGCAGGAAAAGAGTTTTAACCAAGTCCAGAGATGAACTGCATTCCAGCAGTTGTGTAATAACAAAGCTGCATTCTCGAGCAATGAGGCATGTTGAATGATCCTAATAGGAATGAAAGGCTTTAATGTTGAGTATACCAAGCATGGCAACAAGTCCAAGCATCGAATCTTAGAAATACAACAACCAGTCTAGAATTGGCAGCAAGCAGCATAATGTAGAGAGGTGACATGCTTCACAGCAAGAAGGCAATAAAGATAATGGACCGGGACATCAATGCTTAGTAGTAGAAAAGTAGTTAGAGTAGGAGCAAATGACAAGAAGTTCCATTGAAAACCATACCTCACTGTTAGTGGGGTTCAGAAATGAGAAATGGACTCTTAGCC